AAGTTTACGCTCAGTCCAGAATAACCTATCAGAGAACACAAATAAATAAACAAAGGAGGAAAGTGTATGCATGTTAAATGCATTCTACTGATTAAATAAAAACAATAGACTATGTCTTAAAACTCAATTCCTTCACACGATATGCATATACATAAAACATGGTACCAAGTTCTGTATCTACCTTGACACTGCTAGTAATACATTTGGGTCATGTTCGCATCGTTTTAATGCATCAACACTTTTTGTTTTCCTTTGTGGTCTTGCCTCCATAAATATAGCTTCTGCCCACAATATACCAGAGTTTGGACAATCTTGTATTGCTGTAACAATAAAGTATGGAAATGTTAGAGTGGTACCCAGAATGCTACAACTGATACCCAAAATGTAGCAACTGATACCCAAAATGTAGCAACTGATACCCAAAATGTAGCAACTGATACCCAAAATGTAGCAACTGATACCCAAAATGTAGCAACTGATACCCAAAATGTAGCAACTGATACCCAAAATGTAGCAACTGATACCCAAAATGTAGCAACTGATACCCAAAATGTAGCAACTGATACCCAGAATGATGCAAGTAATACTCACAAAGTTGCAAGTAATACAAGTGTTGCAGCTGATACCCAGAATGCTACAACTGATACCCAGAATGTTGCAACTGATACCTGAATGTTGAAAATACTCACAAAGTTGTCACTGATACCTGAATGTTGAAAGTAATATTCACAAAGTTGTCACTGATACCTGAATGTTGAAAGTAATACTCACAAAGTTGCAACTGATACCTGAATGTTGAAAGTAATACTCACAAAGTTGCAACTGATACCTGAATGTTGAAAGTAATATTCACAAAGTTGCAACTGATACCTGAATGTTGAAAGTAATACTCACAAAGTTGTAACTGACACCTGAATGTTGAAAGTAATACTCACAAAGTTGCAACTGATACCTGAATGTTGAAAGTAATACTCACAAAGTTGTAACTGACACCTGAATGTTGAAAGTAATACTCACAAAGTTGCAACTGATGCCTGAATGCTGAAAGTAATACTCACAAAGTTGCAACTGATGCCTGAATGCTGAAAGTAATACTCACAAAGTTGCAACTGATGCCTGAATGCTGAAAGTAATACTCACAAAGTTGCAACTGATACCTGAATGTTGAAAGTAATACTCACAAAGTTGCAACTGATACCTGAATGTTGAAAGTAATACTCACAAAGTTGCAGCTGATACTATGAATGTTATACCTAATAGGCAAAACTCTTACCTCTGGCCATATTTGCTTGTGAAATATTTTTATTACCACCTCTTTCTTCCACCCGTACAGCTTCCAGCCTGCAGGATATGAAATATACATATATCAGTACAGAGGTGACACCACCAGTGTTCACATTGTAATATATTTGCAGGAAATTGTTTCAGTTTATATTATGTGTGTGGTTGGTATATATGTATGTATTCTTACCATAGCTCAGGACAATGTGCATTATGAAGTCTAGCTTTTTCTAATATAGCTCTTGATTTGGTCACATTACCGGCTTTCTCCTCTAATCGTGAATGCAACAACCACAGTGATATGGAATGCACACATTTCTTGAGCTGTGAAAGTAATCAGACATAATCGTGAACGCAACAATCACAGTGATGCACACATTTGATGTTTTGAGCATATTCACTGTGAAATTGTCAAGAAAACAATGAGTTTTATTGTTATTTTACATGTTCGCATAGATTTAATTTAGTGAATTTTACTTAACTTTATAATTAATGCATTAGAAAATAACCTCCGTGGATGGCAGTGAAATAGAACATCAGCAAAAACAGTGATTATTGTCAATAGCGATAGTCATAACCATTTTTCAGACCTTATTAAAATATTCTTAATTTTTGAATTATAAAGCTCATCAGAAATTTGTACTGAAACAACAAACAATGGTTGTCCCATGGTACTTTGATACAATCCCCAGGGGATCAAAAGCTTCCAGGTTAGAACACCCAACTTACCCCTTGTTGATATGTTTTTCTAGCATCTTCAGATCTGTTTTCTTGCTCTTCAATCTGCCCTTTCATCATCCATAACTGGAATGTAATCATTGTAAATTAATAGAGCCAAAGTCTGTTTATTTGACTATCACATCATCATTTTTACCTTGTTTGACCCCTCTTTACCTTGGCATTTGATACTCAAATGTGCAAACACAACTTTATTTTAAACCAAATGTATCCACAAAAAATTTGAAAGTCAATTGTTTGCTGCCAAATTGAACACACATACTGTTTTTAGAGATACTGATAACTGACGATACTTAAGGTTTAAATATGCAATAGAAATTACCATCACTTGAGTCAATGACATCA